GAACAATTATATGCCAACAAATTGGCCAACCTAGAATAAATGAATACATTCCCAGAAACATAAAACTTACCTAGTATGAATAAATTCTGAGGAGAATTTTAGTAATGTTGAGGTGTGGGCCTCTCCTTAGAGCTTGATTTGTCCATTGTTCTTTTTGGAAAGAATGGTAAAACAGCTCTTGAAACAATGAAGCTGACTCCATTTGCCTGTGTGCCTCTCCCTCCCCTGATGTTCCCTCCTCCGTCACACCCGCCTCTCCAGTGTGCGCGTCTGACTGAGGTTTGGGTAACAAAGGGCAATTGGATGTAAAAAGCTATAGCAACTCTTAAATGGATTTTTCTGTCTTGCTGCTTGTACCCTGAAGTAGACTTTAGACTTGATGAATCTTGTTCCCCTTCTTGGTACAGTTGACAGGCAAAACTTCAACAGTGATAAGTAGGAACTACAGGCATATCTCAGAGATATTGCGCGCTGGGTTCTAGACCACTGAAATAAAGCAAATATTGCCATAAAGTGAGTCACACAAAGTTTTTGGTCTCCTAGTGTGTATAAAAGCTATATTTACACTATCCTGTAGTCTATTAAGTGTGCAATAGCATTATGTCTAAAATAATGTACATATCTTCATTAAAAAGTACTTATTTGGGGCTTCCCTGGTGGCGCAGTGGTTGAGAGTCTGCCTGCCAATGCAGGGGACGCGGGTTCGTGCCCCGGTCCGGGAAGATCCCACATGCCGCGGAGCGGCTGGGCCTGTGAGCCACGGCCGCTGAACCTGCGCCTCCGGAGCCTGTGCCCCGCAATGGGAGAGGCCACAACAGTGAGAGGCCCGCGTACCGCAAAAAAAAATAAATAAATAAGAAAACAAATAAAAGTACTTAATTGCTAAAAAATGCTCACTGTCATCTGAGCTTTCAAGTCACTGTAGTAACATCAAAGATCATTGATCACAGATCAGCGTAACAAATATAATAATAATGAAAAAGTTTGAAATATTTGAGAATTACCAAAATGTCACACAGAGACACGAAGTGAGCAAATGCTGTCGGGAAAGTGGCGTCGATAGACTTCCTCGCTGCAGGGCTGCCACACACCTTCCATCTGTTAAAAAAAAAAAAAAAAAAAAAGCAACATCTGTGAGGCACTGTGAAGCAAAAAGTGCAATAAAATAGGTGTGCCTGTGTTCTGGGTAGTTAGGTACCCCAGACAGCAAGGTCATCTTTGTATTCACAGGCATCCTGTTCACTGCCTTACAGATGTAGATAATGTTTGTAAGACTGGGTGGAGGTGGAGATGTTGAAATTCACCCAGCCTCTTCCCCAACTTGCAACAGGGCTAAGAACTAGAAACCACTTCCTTGGGCCCTGAACCACTTAGAGGCTGGTGATTGTGAAGACTTAAGAATTGCAAGACACACAGACACAAACTGTTTAAGTGGTTTTACTGCATCTTTCTTTCTCAAACACTACCATGTAAAGCTGCCCTGCTCCCAGCTCTGGGCTGAAGGTGGGGTTCTCTCCTGGAACACAGTCATGGGCTCCAGAGCGGGCTGGGGTGCTCTCCGAGGAGCACAGGGGTTTGTTCTCAACCTAGAGCCAAGGTCTGTGGAAGCCTGTTGATGAGTATGTGTTGGTGGGGAGAAGGTAGCTGTCTGTCCCCTTTTAATGCTTTCCTTGGGAAAGAAATCATAAGCCCTTGGTAACATCCATAATCCTCACTTTATTACAAAGGGATGCATTTCTCTCTTTAAATATAGAAACATAAACATAAGCAACTTGATTTCTAAGCAGGTAGTGTGCAGACTCTGTATGTTCCACTCTTGTAGAAGCTTTTCAAGGATGGGGTCTTTATCTGTTTTGTTCACCAGTGAATCTGTCCCGAAGCCCTAGGGCAGTGCAGAATACGTGCTCATTAAATATTGGTGGAATCGGGAGGGTCACACAGACCTGAGTGTGGTGTTACCTAATTAAGGACAGTGTGCAATATAGTCAGGGTCTCCTGGTCCCTTTTGCTCCTCACAGGAAGGAAAATTCCTTTTGTGGGGGAATCAGGGCTTCATAGGCCCCTATGGAGGATCTCCCCCAGTTGATTTCCCTGCCATGCGTTCATTCATCCGTCCATCCATTCATGAGCAAATGTAATCACTATGGGCTGCAGTGTCATCATCTTTATGCAGGAAGTTGAACTAGAATTTCGCTGAAGAGGGATAGTGTGGGGCTGGGGATCATTTGTCTCATATCACCGGCCTGAATCTTGCAACCAGAGCGGCAGTCTTTAGGAAGAAATAGCACCGAACAGCTCTCTCTGCTACCGGGGACAGACGCCCGCCCGCTCCGTGGTGCCTGTAATGGGAAGTGTACCCCCCAGGCGATGAGCAGTGTTTTGAGTGTCTGCTCCTCTGCGCCCCGTGAGGCTAAGGATAGACGTCTGCTGGTTCCCTGATGGCCATTCCTCTCAGACTGTGCTGTGACAGGGATGCGGGCATGTGGGGACGTGGCAAGGTGAAGACACCCCTGTTTTCCCAGCAGGCAGCCTGCCGATCCCACACATCAGGAGCACTTCCTTCAGGGATCTCGGGCTGGAGCCACTTATTACTGGGAACAGGAGCGTTTTAGACACTGTCAAACTGAATCAAATGGAATTGGCCCAGCTGCCCTGCGCTGTTGGGGATTACGCCAGGGACTGCTCATCTGTGGTGCGAGCCCTTGGTCTTTCCCTCCTGACTTGTGATTTCTGGGAGAAAGAAGGTCATTTTATGGTTCCTTATTCAAGACAAGCACAAAGGACCCCATGCTACAAATCCTGTGACTATTTATATTCAGGCTTATGGTGAATCTTCCTATCCATTCTAATCCTATAAAAAGCTCCTTGAAAGGATAATACATAACGGTTGAGTTGACATAGACACATGGAATGATTTCAACAGAAACGTTGCGAAATGCCGTGATTTGGCATTGAATAAGGATAGTCATGCACGGGTGCCATTGTCTGGATTCTTTCCCGAAGATTCTGTGATCACACAGATATGATGGCCACTCTGTGAGTCTGTACCCCCATGAGCTCCCTAAATCGTGCTCTAAAATGCCATTCTGGTTGTCTCCATTCTGAGGCTGTGTCAGCACCTCCTGAATGTCTCTCGCACACCCTCCCCTACTTATATCTGGCATTTCTGCTCTTCAAGGCCAACCTTAACTTTGATTCCTTTTTTTCTCCAAGCCTTCCTTTAGCATCCCAGATCTCAGCGAGCTCAACTTTGTGTAACACATTTGGTTTGTGCTAAGGCATGGTGTTTTCTTTTCTATTTACCTTGAATTGCTAGGTTTTGGTCCTGCCCACCCTCCACCGTCTTTAAACCATGTGTCCTTTCTTCCTTGGTAGATTGTCCACTTCTTGAGGGGCAAAAAAAGGGTATGTCCTGTACAGTCCTGTGTCCCTAGCCCCTAGTGTAGAATCATGATACATCTATTTCTAGCACTGATCAAGTGTACTAATTATCCCACTGTACAGATGGGAAAGCCAGGGTTGAGTTAGTAGGACATTCGACGAGTCACAAGATACGATTTGAACTGGGCTTTTGACTCTAATTTTCTTTTTGTTTTAATTATTTAAGCTTTTAAATTGTGTTTATTGATTTGAAGAAGTAATACATGTACATGGCCAAAAAAATTCCAAAAAGTTTCTAGGTTTCTTTCTATTATACTACACCATACTTGTAACTAAGTGCTTCCTTGTTCTCAAAATGCCCTGTTATTTTCCTCCGAGAAGCCAGTTCACTATTCTGACTTCTGCTGTTCTGTTAGTGGCTCCATCACAAAATTTGGGGGTGACTTTTTTTTTTTAACACTTCCCTCGTCTCAGCTAATTGGTTGCTGAAGACCAGCTTATCCCTCACAGATCCTCAAATCCGCACCTGCCTTGTTCATTCTCACCCCTCCCCAGATCCCGCCTTCAACTCCCCCACCCAGATGACTGCAGTCTGGCTGCCCTCCCTACCTCCCTTCATCCCGTATCAGTTCATCTCAGGGTAATCTAGAACCTTCAAGAAGGCTTCAGGGAGTCCTTTTACCTTCTGATTGAGTTTTTTTTTTTTTTTTTTTAATTTTTTTTTTTTTTTTTTTTTTGCGGTACGCGGGCTTCTCACTGTTGTGGCCTCTCCCGTTGCGGAGCACAGGCTCCGTGGCCATGGCTCACGGGCCCAGCCGCTCCGCAGCATGTGGGATCTTCCCGGACCAGGGCACGAACCCGTGTCCCCTGCATCGGCAGGCGGACTCTCAACCACTGCGCCACCAGGGAAGCCCTCTGATTGAGTTTTTATTCCACAGGTTCTTAACTGTTTTTCTTAGGCTATCAAGTTAGGTTTGGTAGTCTGGGAAAGCCATTCTCAGTTTTTAAATAGTGGTTTTATATGCGTAAAATAAAACACATAAGGTTATGAAAGGAACCATTTATATTAAAGTAGCTATCAAGCTATTTTAAAAGCAAATTTTGGTATACTAATCTATGTATACTTCTTTATTATAAATAATAAATAATTCCTTATTAATACATTAAATAACAAGGTCTCCCAGCAGGTGTGATAACTACCACCGCCTCAAAGTAGCAATGAGTGCAAACGATATCTTGAAATACCCACAGTATCTATGATGTGATATGAAAATACAATTTGGCTGGTGTCACGTCACAGGTCCTTCTATTACTCTGGTGTGTTACGTATATTCCTAATCAAAGGAAATTCCAATTTTCAGTTGGATGTTAGTGGAAATGAAGTGTTAATTCTTCTCCACTTGCATTTATGGTCCCTAGGTTAAACCCCCCTTCTTGAGTCTGAATCTCGAGACCCTGTGAGGTCTGCTTTCTCATTCCGTGTTAACCTGTAAGCTTTGGGTCCTGCAGCTCTCCCTGTGTGGGCTTTGCACTCGGCACTGTACAGATGGGAGAGAAAACTGGCAAGTACCATGTCTAACCTGAACCCTGCCTCTGTTCTTCTGTTCACATCTGTGCAGGTAGAGGAAGGATGGTGGGAAGGTGTTCTCAATGGAAAGACAGGAATGTTTCCTTCCAACTTCATCAAGGAGCTGTCAGGGGAGTCGGACGACCTCGGCATTTCCCAGGATGAGCAGCTCTCCAAGTCAAGTAAGGAAGGAAGTCCTCCCACCATGCAGGACAGGGGTGGGGGCACCCACGGGTGCCGCTCCAGCCTCCCCTTGGTTCCACTGCCTGTGCTAAGCGATTGTGACAGAGGCTCATGAATATTTTCTTGGTTATGCTGCCTTAACCCACCGTGGTTTAGTAGGTTTATCACTGTAAAGGTGTGACGTGCATACCTTTCCCCCTGCGCAGATGCACACTTTGAACATCTCTGGATAGGTGACTGTCGTCCTTCATAGTCCCCCATGGATGGCCCATGTTGCTGTGCCTCCGTATACTTCTAAAATGTCACTCACTGCAAGTTGATAATTATTTTTAAAATGAACCAAATGAGATTGTTAATATTTCTCAGCATCTCTTGAGGAACTTGGAGAAAATGGCACACCCACACACCCACACACACACACCCCACACAGTAATCATTGGTGGGGAGAAGGGCAATGTTCAGGACGCGTGTGTGCCAGCTCCCTTGAAAGTCTGCCAGGCCAGCTGAGGGCCCAGCCCCACCTCGGGTGAGCATGCGTGTCCGTCTGTGATGGTGAGAACGAACTCCAGGTCTTTCTCTCTCCAGGGCCTGAAGCTCTCCTCCCTCCAGCTTCTCTGCTGCCTTTTCCAGCTCATGGAGCAAAAGGTCAGGACCGGGAAACTTTGTTCTCCCAGTCGCTAACCCAACTTCCTACGTGGGCGTCTGTGTATCTCTTGTGCCGTCTTGAGCCAAAGTCATGGGTGTGAATGTCGTAGAGGCTCGACTGTGTCTTAGCGGTTCGGCACTACCTGGGGCTGCAGACTTTCCTTTCTAACAAGACGAAGACAGCTCGGTCCTGTCAAAATAATTCTTAAACAGCTTTCTTTTCCATTTGGAAAAATCTGACTTGAGTGGTATTTTCAAGTTAGTTGTGTCTCTCTTATTTAACCAGTAGCGTGATTGGGCAAATCCCCAATTTGGAGGTAAAGCCATTACTGGAGTCGTGCTCAGGCCACCTCCCTCACTTGGTTCAGTGGCGCTGGCTGATTGGCTCAGTGGCTTCCAAAGTCTGGGGCTCCCCATCCCTGAACCTCGTTCCATCCTGGGGTCTATGATAGGAAAGACAGGAGGTGATTTGGGGGCAGAGGAAGCATCTTGAAGCTCCTGCTGCCTTCTCTGGTATGGGGCAAGGAGGTTCTCTGCTAACATGGGCCAACTGATGAGTATGGCCGGGAGGGGAGAAAGTGTCCTTGACCCCATGATAGTGGGACTTCTATGGCTTCCAAATTGCGCATTAGAATTCTAACTGCCATAGTGTCTCCTTTCATACACTGGAATAGTATTGTACCTGGTAATTGGGTCCCATAATAAGAATACTGTATCTTAGGGATATGGTGGATTAAATGGGCTTTCTTGGAGGGAGGACCAGATCGGGTCATTTTACCATTATTTCTGTGGAAGTGTGTTATGAGTTCCAATAGCAATAATGTATATAAACCACCTCACCTATAGAAGACCCTCTATTAAGTGGTCACTTTCATTGTTAATCATGATGAATTCTTGGGACACAGCCAGTTAGTAAGTTGAGGCTGCTTGCACACCGGTTAGTACTGTGCTCACTGAAGCGTTGTCTCTGCATTTGGAAATTACTTTGGGATTCCTGTACTCAGGCTGAAAAGGAGATCTGGAGAGGTATTGGACCACATCTTTGGGAGAACCTTGACCTCTTGATATCCTACCGTGTTAGGTATGCTTTCAGAGCTGGAGCTCAGAGAAGTCATGCTTCTTGTATTTTTGGAACTGTTGAAATAAACTGTCTCCTCTTACTCCAAGTCAATAATGTGGACATTTGACCCTGCTTGACCCCTTAGCTCAAAGCACACAGTGCTGGAATTCCCGGGGCAGGAGGTTAGGAGGCGGAGTGGAATGGTCTTCCCAATCACTTAGCCTTCTGTCACATGCTCTGAAGGGGCTGTTTCTCTCATGGAGACTGCTGTCCCCAACGCTCATTCAGTTAAAACCTGCCATTTCAGAGCTAGGAGAGCCTAATAATTCCGGCAGCCATGTTTAGTTACCACAGGAACTGTCCCTTGTCCAGGGGGTTTTTGAGGTCTCTGGAGAGGCGTGTTCTCCTAACAAGGATGGATGCTTGTGAAATAAGTACATGGCTTTTGTAATCTTCCTGTATGTGCAGTTAAGGAGAAGAGGGCCCATCTATTGATCTTTCTATCTGTCTGTCCATGTCCATCCATCCTTCCTGCTTTCCTTCTTCTATTCTTCATTCATTCAGCTTTTACTTGGCCCCTGTTGTTACTAAGATGCTGTACAAGGCACTGAAGATATACAGAGACAAGTCAGATAGGGTCCCTGTCTTCAGTCAGCTCGCACTGTGGAAAGGGGGTGCACAAATCAGCGACAGTTCAGGAAAGTGCCACACGTGCTCTGCTAGCCGGGTATCTGAGGAAAAGTGGGATACACAGGCAGAGAGAGGCCGGTCCCATGGGGATGTAGGGACAGCGGTGTTCACAAAGGGCTTCATAGGAAAGCAGATGTGATTATAATGTCCCTAGGGCTTGCTAAATTGAAATAATCCCCTGAAAGAGAGAGAAATAGCATCTCTCAGTGTTCTCACAGGCTGTTCAGTAACTGTTTACACTCTGATGGTAAAATATATATAATTAGATCAGATCACATGCAGAAATTATGTATGCTGTTAGGATTTGTCTACGTGGAACCTTTGGTTTTAGAGTGAATCTGCTCGTTCCCTATCCCCAGAGAATGGTGTTAGTAGTTTCAGTGTACTTTACTTTACAAAAGAAACATGTTTTTGTTCTGAAATAACTATAGGGTCACAGAAAGTTGCCAAAAAACAAAACCAAACCAAAAAAAAAAACAAACAAAAAAAACCACTGTACAGGGCGGTCCCATGAGCCCTTCATGCGGTTTCCCCCAGGGATAACATCTAGTATAACTACAGTAAATACGTATTTACTTTTATCATAGAACTGAGAAAGACGAATGTAGTTAGTGCACAAAAGATATCTAGGTTTTTACTCTGGTATGAGCCGAACTGTAGTTAATAAAGGTCTTTGTTAGACCAGCCCACTTAATAACCTTCATAAATTACAGTTTTCACAGAGGGTGCTTAATTAATACATGGCTCTGGGGCTTCCTTGGTGGCGCAGTGGTTAAGAATCCGCCTGCCAAGGCAGGGGACAGGGGTTCGAGCCCTGATCCCACATGCCGTGGAGAAACTAAGCTCGTGCGCCACAACTACTGAGCCTGCGCTCTAGAGCCTGCGAGCCACAACTACACAGCCCGCGTGCCACAACTACTGAAGCCCATGGGCCTAGAGCCCGTGCTCCGCAACAAGAGAAGCCACCGCAATGAGAAGCCCGCGCACCACAACGAAGAGTAGTCCCTGCTCGCCGCAACTTGAGAAAGCCCGCGCGCAGCAACGAAGACCCGATGCAGCCAAAAATAAATAAATTAATTAATATTAAAAAAATACATGGATCTGGGAGTAAGTCAAACTCCTAATGTTTACACCATTTTGGTAATTTTTAGAGATCCTAGTGACATCATATAAAAATCCTGTCAATTTAAATGCTAGTAGACACTGGGGGAGGTTTTTTTTTAAGACACATAAAATCTGTATCCTGGTACATATGAAGAAAACTTTGTGTACAGTGTATCCTCATACACCTCTTTGTTATACACACACACCTAGCCCTGTATGTGCACACACTTCTTTGATATTTGTAGTCTTCACATTGCTACTTCCAGAAGGGTTTTGAGGATACTTATTCAGTTGAGTTTTGTTAACCAATGGATGAATGCAATTGAAGAAACATTGCATTTTATTTATAAGGAAGTGTGCCACGACAGCTTGACACGTGGTAGGTGTTCAGTAAACGCTTGCTGAATCCTTCTTACTCTGAGGAGGCATTTTTAGCTTTGAATGAAAGGTATAAATTGCTTGAACTTGCTTTTCTTTTACCCTGATGTATTTTTATATATGGTAGTTGGTTATGAAAATCTCTAAACTTTAGATCTTTGTTCAGGGTAATCTAATCTATCAAGGAAAGAGTTACAGCAGTTCTGTTGGTTGATATGTTGAGTTAAACATTTTATCTCAAACAAGAAAATTCATTGTCAGGTAGTGGCAGCAACTTTTTGCTGTATATTTAAATTTGAAAGCATCTTTACCTTTCATAGCATTTATGGAACTTTAAAGGTGCTTTTTCAAAAAGATTTTTGTCAACTTTTTATTATAGAAATTTTCTAACATACGCAAATCGAGAGAATAGTATGATGAACCCCTGTGTACCTGTTACCCAGCTTCAGCAGTTAGCAACCTGTGGCCAATTCATTGTAATTATACCACTACACAGTCCTCCCCTATATTATTTTGAAGCAAACCCCAGATACCATGTAATTTCATCCATAAATATTTCAGTATGTGTCAATAAAAGAGTATCTTAAATACTGTTATCACTCTGAATTGTAATAATAATAATAATTGCAGTTCCTCAAAGTGATTACCTATATGGTCAGTGTTCACTTTCCCCTAATAGTCTTCTATTTTTTAATGCAATTTGTTAGTTTGAATCTGCACCCAAAGAAGGTACATACCCTGTGATTGGTTGATATGTCTCAACTCTCTTTGAATCTCTAGATTCTTCTTCCATGTTGCCTTTTTTCGTTGCTACTTTTTGCTGAAGAAACTGAGGTCCTTTGTGCATTAGTTTCCCACAGCCTGCCTTTTGCTGATTTCATCTCTGCTGTGTCGTTTACTCTATATTCCTATAAATTGATAATTGGATCCAGGGCCTTGATTAAATTCAGGTTTGAGAGAGAGATTTTTTGGGGTGGGAGGACAGAACTGCTTCATAGGTGGTGATGGATAGTCTATCTGGAGGCTCATAATGTCTGGCTATCTTTGTTTTTGAATATTAGCAGCCACTGATGATTATCGCCCAGATCTGTGCACTCATTAGGGCTTGCAAAATGGTACCAA